CCTCCCCTGTGATTTTTTTTTGTCTGGTTTGAATTTATGCAAGTCTTCTACAAGCTGTCATAACTCTGAGTTCAGATGTGTAACATTCCTGCCGTGTCTGGAAAGCACTGTTTCCTTGTAGCCACCCACTGCCCCTGGCTCTTACACTTTTCCGTCACTTCTGCAACGGTCCCTAAGCTTTGGAAAGGGATAGCATGATAGAAAGTTCATTAATTTTCTTGTACGGTATGTTTCCCGAAAACCTCTCCTTGTTCTATTATTTCCCTCCATATAGGAAGCATAGACATTTCTTTATATGTTCTTAGGAAAAGTAAAACAATCTGGTCCCTGTGTTTATCACCCAGGTACCTGTCCTTTATCACCTCAGCAAGGGAGACTTCCCTCAGATGTGCTACAGGTCTCTTATTCTTTAATTATTTTTAATTAATTACACTTTATTCACTTTGTATCCTCCCATAAACCCGTCCCTCCTCCCCTCCTAATCCCACCTTCCTTTCCCCTTCTTCACGAATGCCCCTCCCCAAGTCCACTGATAAGGGAGGTCCCCCTCTCCTTCTTTCTGATCTTAGTCTATCAGGTCTCCTCAGGAGTGGCTGCATTGTCATCTTCTGTGGCCTGGTAAGGCTGCTCCCCACTCAGGGGGAGGTGATCAAAGAGCAGGCCAATCAGATTATGTCAGAGGCAGTCCCTGTTCCCATTACTATGGAACCCACTTGGACACTGAACTGTCATGGGTTACATCTGTTCAAGGGTTCTAGGTTATCTCCATGAATAGTCCTTGGTTGGAGTATGAGTCTCTGGAAAGACCCCTGTGTTCAAATTTTCTTGTTCTGTTGCTCTCCTTGTGGAGTTCCTGTCCTCTCCAAATCTTACTATTTCCCTCTTTTTTCATAAGATTCCATGCACTCTACCAATAGTTGACCATAAGTCTCAGCATCTGCTTTGATAGTCTGCACAGCAGAGCCTTTCAGAGGCCCTCTGTGGCAGGTTCCTAACTTGTTTCCTGTTTTCTTCTTCTTCTGATGTCCATCCTCTTTTTCTTTTCAGCATGGGGACTGAGCATTTTAGTCATGGCCCTCCCTCTTGATTAGTTTCTTTAGATGTACAGATTTTAGTAGGTTTATCCTATATTATATGTCTATATGAGTGAGTATATACCGTGTGTGTCTTTCTGCTTCTGGGACAGCTCACTCAGGATGATCCTTTCCAGTTCCCACCATTTACCTGTAAATTTCATTATTTCCTTATTTTTCATTGCTGAGTAGTATTCCATCGTCTAGATGTACCACTATTTCTGTATCCATTCTTCAGTGGAGGGGCATATGGGCTGTTTCCAGCTTCTGGCTATTACAAATAAAGCTGCTACAAACATGGTTGAGCAAATGTCCTTATTGTGTACTTGAGCCTCTTTTGGATATATACCTAGGAGTGGTATAGCTGGATCTTGAGGAAGTGCTATTCCTAGTTGTCTGAGAAAGTGCCAGATTGCTTTCCAGAGTGGTTGTACCAGTTTACATTCCCAGCAGCAGTGGAGGAGGGTTCCCCTTTCTCCACAACCTCTTCAGCATGTGTTGTCACTTGAGTTTTTGATCTTGGCCATTCTGATGGGTGTAAGGTGAAATCTCAGGGTCGTTTTGATTTGCATTTCCCTGATGGCTAATGAGGTTGAGCATTTCTTTAAGTGTTTCTCAGCCATTCGATATTCTTCTATGGAGAATTCTCTGTTTAGCTCTGTTCCCCATTTGTTTAATTGGATTACTTGGTTTGCTGCTTTTCAGCTTCTTTAGTTCTTTATCTATACTGGATATGAGTCCTCTGTCAGATAAAGGGTTGGTGAAGATTTGTTCCCAATCTGTAGGCATTCGTTTTGTTTTGATGATGGAGTCCTTTGCTTTCCAGAAGCTTTTCAGTTTCATGAGGTCCCATTTATTGATTGTTGCTCTTAGAGCCTGTGCTTTTGGTGTTCTGTTCAGAAAGTTGTCTCCTGTACCAATGAGTTCTAGGGTCTTCTCCACTTTTTCTTCTAACCAATTTAATGTGTCTAGTTTTATGTTGAGGTCTTTGATCCGCTTGGACTTTAGTTTTGTGCAGGGTGATAAATATGGATCTATTTGCATTTTTCTACATGTAGATATCCAGTGAGACCAGCACCGTTTGTTGAAGATGCAGTCTTTTTTCCATTTTATGGTTTTGGCATCTTTGTCAAAAATCAGTTGTCCATAAGTGCATGGGTTTATTTCTGGGTCTTCTGTTCAGTTCCATTGATTCACCATTCTGTTTCTATGCCAGTACCATGCAGTTTTTATTATTGTTGCTCTGTAGTACAGCTTGAAATCAGGGATGGAGATAACTCCAGAAGATCTTTTTTTGTAGAGGATTGTTTTAGCAATTCATATTCCATATGAAGTTGAGAATTTTTCTTTCCAGGTCTGTAAAGAATTGTGTTGGTAATTTGATGGAAATTGCATTGAATCTATAGATTGCTTTTGGTAAGATGGCCATTTTTACTATGTTAATCCTGCCAAGCCATGAGCATGGGAGATCTTTCCATCTTCTGATATCTTCTTCAATTTCTTTCTTCAGAGACTGGAAATTTATTTCATACAAGTCTTTGACTTCTTTGGTTAGGGTTACATCAAGGTACTTTATGTCATTTGTGGCTATTGTGAAGGGTATTGTTTTCCTAATTTCTCTCTCAGCTCTTTTGTCTTTTTTATACAGGAGTGCTACTGATTATTTTGAGTTAATTTTGTATCTGGCCACTTTGCTGAAGGTGCTTATCAGCTACAGTTCTCTTGACCACCTATTTCAAATCTATTTACTGAGGCACTGTCTATGCTCCTCTTCATTTCCTCCATAGCTTGTGTCACTTCCTAATGTAGTATGTGTGTTTATCATAGGCAGAGGAGGAAGGCCCTGGGGTATAGCATCTTTTGTTCTCCCTGCATCTTCATAACCTGAAATGGGGATAAGCCATAAAAGTGAAGTGCACACTAGAGCTGATATAAAACACGGAATGAAATCGAAGCAGGTTCTTCCACCACGTTTCTTTGGGAGTTTTCCAGTTTTTGAAAATTAATGTATCCTCAAACATAATATTAGCAATGTTAAACTGTTATTTTTTTTGTCACACATATTTTCTTTGGTGATTGTAAACCATTTTTCCTTTGCAGTTTTAAATTCATTTAATTTTTTAATTAAATATATACTTAGAAAACATTGTCCCACTTAAATATTAACTCACATTTTCTTCTATGACATTTAATGTTTTATTCTTCACTTTGAAAAAAATCGCTGAAGCCGATGTGATGGTGTGTATCTTCAGTCTCAGCATTTGTGATAAAAAGTTCTGAGGATTGACACAAGCTCAAGGCCAGCCTAAGCTTTGTAGCAAGACTGTCTCCAAAAGCACGATGTGGATAAACAAATACTGAATCCACATGGCTTCTCTCCTACTGTAAGAAGTGATGGGCCCAGCTTTAGTTGCATCAGAACCCTTCTGAAATATTTTTGAAATATTGAAAAGTTTTCAGTAATAAAATATTTGTGACATAAAACAACAGTTTTTAACATTACTAATATAAGGTTTGATGCTACATTAATTTTAAAAAACAAAACAGAAAACTCCAAAAGAAAAGTAGTAGAAGACATCGTCTTCAATTTCAGTATTCCATACTTCAGTCAGACAGCTTGGAATGCTGTGTTCATAAGGTCAGTTGATGTTACATAGTGGAAGAAATGTTCTCCTGCTCTGTTTTTATTTCCTCTATATTTTCTGTGGCCAAATAATACATTTAAACATCTTAAATTTATCCTGGCTTTGGATATTTGTTTCCCCTATCCTTTATGTATCGACAGTGGACACAGTCATGATTATGTTTATGTCACACCATTGTTCTTAGTGATGTTCCTTGTTATTGAAGATTGAAACATTCATCAAATTGTGAAATCCTATGTCAATATAATGTTAATAAAGTATCTTCCTTCAGTTCCCCCCCCCGCGCATTTTTATACTAATACCATAAACCCATCCAATTTATAGCTTATTTTGTCATAATGAAAGAATACTGTTTAAGTTTTGAGGGTTTTGAAAATATATTTGTGAGCCTTATTAAATTTTGCCATCTGGGATGCAAGAGATGGCTCAGCAGTTAAGAGAACTTTCTGTTCCTGTAGAGAAGACCGAGGCTCAGTTTCCAGCACCCACATGGCAGTTCATAACCATCTGTAACTCCAGTTCCGGGAGATCTGATGCCCTGTTCTCTGCAGGCCCCAGGGTGCACAGGCCATACACAGACAGGCAAAATGCTCATACGCATACAATATAAAAATCTAAAAAAACTAATTAAATCTTGCTATCCACAGTATAGAATAAGAGTTTGTTGACAGTTTTTGTTAAATTGACTTCAACTTCTGTGTGACCATTTCAATACATGTTTGTCTGTCATGTACCACAGCCTTTACCAGGGCACACATTTTTGGCAGGTCTTTAGGTTTTCATCTTAAAATGGTGACAATAGAAGCATTGTAATCAGGAACTTGGCTCTTGGAGTCCATTAGCTCTTGTATTTAGCATGGCATCTAATACAAATCAAGTGTTGCGTGAATGCTTAACTGTTTGAGTCCATACTCTGTTGCAACTTAAACACAAAGTAACCCTGAAAATTCAGATGACTTTAAATGCTTCAGTGAAGTTTTAGGGAAAAAGTGGAGACCATGTTTGTTTTAAATTTGCCGTGTTGGCTTACAGAATACATCTGACAAAGTCTCTCTGTGTGTTTAGATTACTAATTTGAGATAGTAATAACAATCTCCTTTGATATTTATCACATTTCTAATTACTTTGAGAGTTTCACAGAACAAATGCTTTCTTCCCGTGAGTGCACGTGGCTGTGCTTCTCCTCGGGAGCAGAGAGCTGCGAGGAGAAACGGTGTGCCATCTGCTACCTGTAATGATGAGCTCACTCTCCCTTCCCTGACGTGGCGTGTTTCTTCTGCAGACCCACTCCGAGGAGCGGCCATTCCAGTGTGATGAATGCAAAGCCTTGTTCCGCACCCCCTTTTCTCTGCAAAGACACCTGCTAATCCACAACAGTAAGTCACAGTGCTGGCAGCTGAGGACAGATAGAGTGACTTCCAGTGTGTTCTTAGACTTTTTAAGAGTTCCAGAAGTTCATGGTGAATTGTAAAACAATCTGTTTAAAACATAAAGAAGAAAGATTACTTTGTTTTCTTACAGTACCATTAATCATTCTATGAGATACTTTATTTTACATCTTCTCTTCCTAGTGTTTATAATTTGTATATAAAAAGATACCCCATATTTAGTGTACATTGAACATTACATTGAAACAGACTTTCATTGTCTTTTAACCACGGTGGTTAAGGGAGCATGTCTACCTCTGTAAAACAGGCAGCTCTCTCCCAGGCCAGGGTTTTATTAGCTCACAGGCCTAAAGTTGGAGATGTTCAGAGGCGCACATCCAACTCAACCCCGTTTCAAGGAGAAACTGAGCATCTGGAGCGTGACAGCGGCCGTTCAGGCAGTGGACCCCTCCTCCACATCCGGGTGTCTCGCAGGCAGGCACCTATCTCAGTTCATGTAAAATTCCTGGCTATGTGCTTGCTTATTTGGGGAGGTAAATTGCTTTTATTACACTCCAGACAGATACACAGCTTTTAAGAAAATTGCACACATAAAGCTCCTACTGCTGCTTAAATACTCCGAATACGAGCATGTGACAGTTGGTTGTAAACAGGGGTAACAGAAGGAAATTTCTCTGCTCAAGCCAAATGCCTAATCAGAAAAGCAATAGAGATCTTAAGGTCTAGTACACATTGGTGTTGACCAGGAGGAAGGAAACTGCTTCCTGTAGAGAAGGGTGGGGCTGTTGCAGTGCGGGCCGGTCACTGGCGGACCTGTTCAGTGCTCGTCCTAGCTTTCCACTTCCTCACAAAGAACAACTTTTTAAAGAATGAAATTTGTTGCACTGCCATGGGAAGTATTCTATCAGATGGCTTAAGAGAGGGACGGATTTTAGAATAGGCATTTATACAAGTGGACTTCAGTCATCCTTTTGAGATGCATGTGACTGAATTTGGCTTTATGCTCAGGGAATTTTTGTTGGGAAAAATAAAATTTTATTGTACACAACCAGCAAAAGAAATTGTAAAATCAGTAATCTGATACTTTCAGGATTGCCTTCTTGGTTCTCAGCAGCGCTGCTTTAGAGAAAGGAGCAAAGTGGCTTATGAGGCTGTGCTGTGTGGTCTGTGGCTAAAATGAGGATGAGCAACACTAGGAGAGGCTCTCTGAAGCTACAGTGTGGAATCTGGCCAGGTCAGCAGTGTAGGGTGCAGACAGGCCTCGGTGAAGACCCGCGAGTTAAAGCAGTAGGAGAGCCAGACCGGCTAAAGCACAGAGCACAAAGTATTAGGTCTTGTTTCACACTGTTAACACTACGAGTAGATTCACTTCCAGACATGAGGGCTGGTATTATAAACACATCTCTTTCCCGTGGACTAACATGCCAGCTCTTTTCTTGTACACTGAAAACCAAAAGGCAGCTCTCTGGCTAGCTTCTAGGGGTTAAGGCTGGCGAAAGTTCAGATGAAATTAAGACAAGGAATCTGATAGAAATAATACATCAGAACTAGGAAATCCTGGTATTTTAAGACAAGGAAACCCGAAGTCCTGTGCATGTGGCATGACAAGTGACTTGTATTCTCAGGTGAGAGGACTTTCAAGTGCCATCACTGCGACGCTACGTTTAAGAGGAAGGACACCTTAAATGTTCATGTGCAGGTGGTCCATGAAAGACACAAGAAGTACCGATGTGAGCTGTGCAATAAGGCCTTTGTTACACCTTCTGTGCTCAGGAGTCACAAGAAGGCAAGTGGGGGCTTCGCCAAACAGTGCATTGGAAGCCACTGTGAGATTATGGGCGCACGTGCTGACTGTCGTGCGACAGGTTTATATCAACTTATGACATGCTTGCTAGCAATAGCAAGTATGTGATTATGCTAACTATCCAAGAAACACCCGTGGTCTCTGTTTTTCAGAATAGGCATTTTCCCATGGAATGAAACCTCAGTTACATTTTGTGAAACCCTTAGCTTTACTGATGGGTGCGCTTGGGAAATACTAAGACTCTCTTGACTTTCAACCATATTCACCTAATACAGATGATTTCTTGTGAAAATATGAGTAGCACCTCAAGTAGGTTGTTTTTATAGGACTAATTCAGGTATTTACAGAAAGCCCAGGGCACAGGGGATTCCCTGATGCAGAACTGGGGTTTCACACATACTGATTCAGGTCACATAAAATCGTTTCATTTGTGATTCTGAGATTACTTTTTGTAGTATGCAAATTGAGAGTCTGTTTTTGTATTTTATAAATAAATATACAGCATTATAATAAATGCATTTTAAAGCACTTTAAATGGCAAAGCTATTTTATGACAGTCAGTTAAGGGTTCCAAAGTTGGTGGTGCGAGCACGGTGAAGATAAAACCTGTTCACCTCATTGTGAGCAGGAAGCAGGAAAGGGAAATACAGGAGGAGCATGGCAAGATATATTCCTAAGGAGACACCCCTACTGACACTCTTCAGCTAGGCCCCACCTCCTACTTTTTGCCCACCTACTGACAAGGCCATCAGATTTAAATCCAACCCTGGACTGTGTCAAAGACTTCGTGATCTGATAATCTGGAAATGCCATTGCACACATCCAGTAAGGTCTTTATCAGTAATCCACTATGCAACTTTTTTTTAATTAATTTAATTCTTTCATATCTTACCTCCAGTCAGTTTTCCCTCCCTCCCCTCCTATCAGTCCTTCTCCTCCCTCTACCTCTTTCCTTCTCATCCACTCCTTGAGAAAACTACAGGCCTCCCAAGGATACCAACCAAACATGGCACGTTAAGTTGCAGTAAGAGTAGGCGCCTCCTTTCATGTTAAGGTTGGACTAGGGAACCTGGTAGGAAGACAGGGATCCCAAAAGCAGGCAAACATGTCAGAAATAATCCCTGCTTCCTCTGTTAGGAGGAAGCACCACAGCGTGTGCAGAAGGCCAGGTCAAACCCATGATTTGTTGTTTCAGGCCCTGTGAGCCCCTGTGAGGACAGGTTTGTTGGTTCTGGGGGTTTTGTGGTTTCCTTGACTTTCCTAGCTCTTCCCCTTCCTCCGCAGGATTCACTGAGTCCCTATGCAACTCTAACTTGATGGTCATAATCAACTAGTACCAGACACCACCTGCTTTTAATAATTTCCAGGCTACTATCGGAACATACTCTCAAAACAATATTATAAAAACAAACATAAAAATAGCTGAAGAAACTGCTTCCCCCCGATCTCTGCATTAGTCCTCACCCCAACTTTTCCCTTTGCTCTAAGTGTGAAAACCCCTGATGCTTCACAGATTACTGTGACCCCTTATTCACTAGAATGAAGAAAACAAAAGTTATGTTGGTGGAAAACTTAGTCTCCTATTGAGTTTCTGAGGCCTTAACATACTCTGTCTACCCCTCCTTGTGGGGCTGTCAGCAGTTTTGTTTTGCAGTTTTCATTTGTTTGTTTATATATTTGGTGTTGATTGAACCCAGAGTTTCCTGTGTGGTAGGCAAGCAACCGAGCACTGGGTTTTATTTCCAGCCCTAGTTACTGGCTTCTTTAAACTCTGTTTTGCTGGTGCTCTTTCTCTTTCTCCGGTATGATTGTTTGGTGCATACATAATATGTTGAGGCCAGAAACTCTCTTTCCAATCGACTGCTCAGTTAACACCTGCTGGTTTTCAAGATCAAACTAGATGTACATGCTTTCTGTTTTGTAGTAAAAATCTGTCCAGAAAAGCATAGCATAAGTAACATATGACTTTCTTGAGATTAATTCTGCCCTTCAGAGTGAAATACGCACAAAGAATTTGGAAAATGATTCAAAGGAAATGTCACTTGGCAACAATCACAGGCAATTCTGGCCTCATTTTGATTGTGTGGTTTTGCTCCATGCACTGGTTTTATATAACTTAATCACGTTTAGTTAGACATAAAGGCTTAAGCAGTAAACTGCAGAATTATTTTTGAATTAACACTAATGCATGCTTCTAAGGGATCTTTGAACCCCTGGGATTATCCATGATAAATTGTTTAAAGTCGCATTGTGACATTAAATCATTTTAATGAAACATAATCTTGAAAAATACAGATTTACTATTGTCAGAAGTACTTAATCATCTTTACCAAAGCCTTTGTATTTATCATCAACCATTTTTATTCTTGTTCAGACACACACAGGAGAAAAGGAGAAAGTCTGCCCATATTGTGGCCAGAAATTCGCCAGCAGTGGGACCCTGAGAGTTCACATCCGGAGCCACACAGGTATGGAGAGTGACCTGGGGCTGAAACCCTGGAAGTCAGTGTTAGGTCAGAGAGCAATAATGTCCAAAGAGGACCCAGACGCAGTTAACTTTTCTAGGAGGATCATCAAAACCAATTCTTTTTACTTGAGAACCATCTCCAAAATTGAGTAAAATATACTCAAGTGTAAATACTAGTTAATTTTTAGTTGAAATGTAAGTATGATATACAGGATTCTGCTGGGCAGCCTCATGTTTACATAGACAGAAGGCCTCCTCTTGATCCAGTCTGTCACGTACACGAGAGCTGCCTTTCTGAATTAAAAAGTACCTGCCTTTCTGATCAGATTCTCTAGAGTTTTACTTGTGTGGCCTGAGGGGACTGTGATATTTGCTGACTCTTAAGGGTCCCAGACTCATTTCTGTTACTTTTCCTGTGAAACTTCTCCAGGGAAAGAGAAGGTGGCTACTGGTGAATAGCTAAATATTCTTGAAAGAAGTTTGACTGCAGTTTATCTATTGTGTAGAAAAAATGATTCTTACATTATTTCTGCTTTCTAAATGATTTAATGCTCGTCTGAATTATCTTTCCACCAAACAGAATGCATTTATTGAATTATGTAGCTGAAGCTTTCTGATGAAAGGCCATAATACATGACATAAAAAATCATATTTCCTACACCCAGTACAGTGTCTAGAGTAATAACTGTTTTATGGATGAAGAATTATTAGTTTAGGTAGATAAAAAAATTGACACTATGACTTTAGGGATAATGAAAGGACATTAGAGCATAATTTGAATTTTCTGTGGACAAAGCTAAAAGTTATGTCCTTAGAATAGTCACTCACATACTTGTAAATGAAACACATAACCAGAGACAAACCAAGCATGATGGATGCTGGGTACGTTATAGAGTATGTCTGAGAAATTATCTAGAGAAAGCAAGGGTTTTAAGACAATAAACAAGGGGTCCAAGAAATAAAATATATCCAAAAGGCCAGAGACACCGAAGGAAAGGAGCATCAGAGGGCCGTTCTTTGAACAGGTGTCACAATGAGCAGTGCCCACAGCTGCCTGCACCCCGCTCAGTGCCCTCTGACAGGAAGGCATGATGATTAGGAAATAGCCCTCCAGTGGGGTAGCATGGATGTCCTTGGCCCTCCCTTCCTGCTGTGTCACTGAGGCCATGTGGAGTTAGGTCTGGTGAGGGCAGCAGTCTTTGTATGCCAGCCATACTTAGTAGACATTGCTTTGGTACACTGAGAAATTATTGTAGTTTGCATGTCTGCATAGATGTATCCCAGTTCTGTTTGTAGATAGAAGGAAAGCGGGAGGTTTATAGAGAAAGTGAGTTTTTTCTACATATCAGAGTAATATGCTTATAGTAAAGTAATCCCTAAGATACGCTTGTATGACTAAATCAAGCTCGGTGTCATGAGACTCATAGAGTTTAGAAAACATTAAAGCATCGATTCCAGCACAGAAAAGATAGACCCAGTCAAATAGAACTTGAGTACTCCTAATGTTTCCATTTTTGTGAACTTTGCGTGCTTGTAGAAAGAACAAATAGTAGGGAAATAAAAATTTCTTAAGTATCATCTCTCTGTAGAAGCTGTATAGCTTAATTGATAAGGCTTTCCAGACCTTGAATCTGAAAGTAATTAGCTTGTTGAAATTCAAGAATTTTATGTGAGAAAGTATCAAATATATTATGTTTGTCCTGTTGTCTAAAAAATAGTTCATATTATAGACATTATATATATATATATATATATATATATATATATATATATGGAATATTCTAAAATTCTAATCATTTTGCAGTGGATATAGTTTACCATATATCTGACTCTGGGCCGAATTGAGGCATGGTGAGTCTATGTATATGTGTGTGTGTGTACATAGACAGTTTTTTATGCACATGCAGGGGACAGAAAAGGAGGAGAGTGTGTGTGTGTATGAACAAATTCTTGTGTACCTGCTTGTTTGTGTGGGCGTTTTTCATCACCATATTTTTCTGTTTAGACTCAGAGCGGTTTAGAGTCCCATTTTCCAACCCTGCTTTGTGTCCTTTGACAAGCCTGTTCAGTGCTAGCCTCCTGCCGAGTGGCTGCCGCACTGCTGCAGCGCTGGGGCTGTCTGGCTGGCGGCTGGTGGCTGCAGCAGCCCTGACGTGGTTTTCTCTTCCATGCGTGTATAAGCAGTGTCGCAGCTCATCTTTAGAAGCTGAGCATGCACTTATCCCAGAGCTAAGCCCAGTGACGACAGTTACTTGGGTACTTTGGGTACTCTGGCCGAAGAGCAGCAGGGCTCCCACGGCTTGAGGTTTTGCTAAATTATCTTTCTCTGCCTTTATTTTCATTTTCCTCTGTGGAACCGTATGGTTTCATCCACCCGTTTTTAATGCTGTTTTGCAGTTTCTGGTGCTCTCTGGGGTACCAGCTGTAAGGAATTCCGTATTGTTTATGGGATGGTCGGTGAAACACTTCAAGCGAGAGGGTGCCTGATCACAGTGGCACCGACACAGGTCTGCGGGCACAGTGCTGTCTGAGGGGCGCACAAACTGCCGCCTCAACACCTCACACTTGACCGTTGTGGAGGGCCCTAGGGAGCCCTTGTTTCTCTCCACAGCTGTTGAGCTGTTGAGCACATTAGCAGTCTAACCAAGGTATCTTATTAGGAAATGTAGAAATATTTATTTTGTTGAAAGTGACACAGGAATTCCACTCCAGGTTAACATGCTTTTATAGGAAATAACTGTTTTCTAATCACAAGCCATTAGTGAGAATGAAGACATCGTTTGACTTGACTGGTTTCTGAGGAGACAGCTTTGTACCTGTTTCTTCATTCATCCTGTGATATGTCGCTGGAGTTGCACAGTGTGCAGCAAGCCTACAGAGTATTGTAATAGTCTTGATCAAATAATTTAGGCTATTTTTTGCTACTAGACTGAAAATAAAGAAGCAGACTTTTAGAAAAGGATTTGCTGTCACGTGCAACCTAAAATTATTTCAGTGATCCTTTTCCGTTCCATCACTTTAAAATCCGTCAGTCTGGGTTGAACCTTTCACCCATGAAGGAGTCTGTAACGGGAGGCACAGGTCATCCAGGAAACATCTTTTTGAGTCCTGCAGTTCTTTACATTTGCTAAGGCCATTGCCTACTCTGGACCAAGAGTTACCATAAGCACTGTCTTGAAAATTCTGTTGTCATACTGGCACAAAAATTAAGACTCCTTTCCAAATTCAAATGAGTTTTATTCATTAATATTACTTGGCAAATCTTATTGAATGACACTCTATTTCTTATATTATTATATTTAGTTTCCATTTCTTTATTGCAGCTTGTGAGAATTTTCAAGTTCATATCTTTTCTTCCAATTTTATCAAAATCTTAAATTGGGTATATGTTGGGATTTTTTAATAAAAATCTATGTTGAATGTTGATAAGGAATTAGTTAGGCATCATACTGAGCATAATTAAAATCCCTGTGTATTAACTTTGACAAGATGCATTTTAAATGGCTATATTCCTGATTAAGACTTAAATAAAGAAATGTTTAAAGAACTTGGATTAAAGGAAAAAAATGTGCTATGAATACTGAATTGTGGATGCTGATTCTTCCTTGGCATTAGACCACGGTAACCTTCAAAGTTCTCTTTTTTTTTAGTATATCAATGTTTTTTTATTTTTAATTATACTTTATTTACTTTGTATCCCCTTCTAGTTCCCTTCCTCTTCCCCTCTCCGAATCCCTCCCTTTCTCCCCCTTCTCCACACAGTCTCCTCCCCAAGTCCACTGCTAGGGAAGGGTTTCTTTTTCTTCCTTCTGATTCTAGTCTGTTAGGTCTCAGGAGTAGCTGCATTGTCTTCCTCTATGGCCTAGTAGGCTGCTACCCCCTCAGGGAGAGTTGATCAAAGAGTGGGCCAATCAGTTCATGTCAGAGACAGTCCCTGTTCCCTTTACTATGGAACCCACTTGGACACTGAACTGCCATGGGCTACATCTGTGCAGGGGTTCTAGGTTATCTCCATGCATGGTACTTGGTTGGATTATGAGTCTCAGGAAAGACCCCTGTGCTCAAATTTTTTGGTTCTGTTGCTCTCCTTGTGGACCTCCTGTTCTCTCCAGCTTTTACTATTATTCCCCACTTCTTCCATAAGATTCCCTGCATTCTGCCCAAAGTTTGGCCATAAATCTCAACATCTGCTTTGATAGCCTATACAGGTCAGAGCCTTTCAGAGGCCCTCTGTGGGAGGCTCCTAACTTGTTTCCTGTTTTCTTCTTCTTCTAATGTCCATCCTCTTTGCCTTTCAGAGTGGAGATTGAGCATTTTAGCCAGAGTCCTCCCTCTTGATTAGTTTCTTTAGGTGTACAGATTTTAGTAGGATTATCCTATATTATATGTCTATATGAGTTAGTATATACCATGTGTGTCTTTCCGCTTCTGGGACAGCTCACTCAGGATGATCCTTTCCAGATCCCACCGTTTACCTGCAAATTTCATGAATTCCTTGTTTTTAATTGCTGAGTAGTATTCCATCGTGTAGATGTACCACAATTTCTGTATCCATTCATCAGTTGAGGGGCATCTGGGTTGTTTCCAGCTTCAGGCTATTACAAATAAGGCTTCTACAAACATGGTTGAGCAAATGTCCTTATTGTGTACTTGAGCCTCTTTTGGATATATGCCTAGGAGTGGTATAGCTGGATCTTGAGGAAGCGCTATTCCTATTTGTCTGAGAAAGCACTAGATTGCTTTCCAGAGTGGTTGTACCAGTTTACATTCCCACCAGCAGTGGAGGAGAGTTCCCCTTTCTCTACAACCTCTCCAGGTTGTGTTGTCACTTGAGGTTTTGATCTTGGCCATTCTGATGGGTGTAAGGTGAAATCTCAGGGTCGAAATTCAAGTGGATCAAAGACCTCAACATAAAACCAGACACATTCAATTGGTTAGAAGAAAAAGTGGGGAAGACCCTAGAACTCATTGGTACAGGGACAACTTCCTGAACAGAACACC